TCATACTTTCTACTTCATATTTGACACAGTTCTTCCCACAGCTGGGAGTTTACGTTGCTGGTCTGGAGTTGTGGAAAGGCTTCCTTGACCTCATGCTCCAAGATGGCTTGACACCTGACTTGGAGGACCAGCACTTCTGGTGGAAGAGCAAGGCCCTGAACACCTTTCCGGAGTGCTTCCTCTGACCTCACCAAGGCTGCCTCTGAACTTGGGCTCTGAGGCGCCCGCTGGCCTGAGGAAGGATGCTATTTTGGGCAGTGTGTCTGGACTTGGTTCAAGCAGCACGGGCCAAACCCCTGTCCCATTGACCTCTCCCCTGGAGGAGCAGAAGCAGCGCTCAGACCCTCAGGCATGTTTGAGAGGCTGGATCTAGGCTGGGATAGGACATCAGGATATCAACAGTTGTCCAAACAGCCTGGAGGGGAAAGATCCAGACCTACTTTAACTGAGACACCTCAGACAGAAAACCAGAGAGCTCGTCAGCTGAGTGAATGGGACTATAGGCTGAACTGGGACAGTGTGATCCACTCTCTGGGTACCTTGAGGTGAGGAGGTAAGTCCGGGAGCTGAGGTCTGAATTTCTGTTCGGTTTCAGTCTTGCCTTGCTGTGTCACACCAGCATGTTGCAGCCTCTCTGGTTTTCTTCCCTGTACATTGCTTGTGAGGTCCTAAGGTGAAGCAGAGATTGGGAGGATGCGTTTGGCTGCCTGTCGGCAGAGGATCGGGATGGAATGAGGAGAGGACTGGGAAAGGATGCACCTTAGAGACAAGAGTGAGGGGAGCTCTTGGCTTACCTCCTGAGGGACTGGGCAGGGCACTGAGAGTTTCAGCGAGCAGGGTTAGTGATGGAAATTGTATGAACCATACTAGAGCATGAGAAGGACATACAGAATGAGGAGGGAGACAAACTACTTTTGTGTTGTCAGTCTGAGAAGAAAATGAGAGTACATGGTGGGAGGGGGAGATTCACAGGATGAGGGAAGGTTACTCTTCTGAGGGGGAGGCCTGCACTGAATGGGGTTTTAGGATTCTGGGCGTTTGTTTTGTGTCTATGCCTGCACCTATGTGCCTTCCACACCTCTACATAGTGTGTGTACTCAAGGAAAAGCCCCTAGAAAGTGTCCATTTAAGTTATCAGCAAGAGTGCTAAGGGTTAGATCAAATAAATAATGTTTGAGTAGGTGAAGGTGCAGCCAATTAGAGGAGTGGTGGGCATCTCCACTCTCCAAGGCTGGGCTGCAGACTTGGAAGGGCCAGGACCCAGGTCCTGAGACCAGTGTGGGTGAAGGAGGTGGGACTCCAGGGCCTCGTCCTGTTGCCTGGAGCATACCCATTCTCTCCTCCTTCCTTGCTGGCTTGGCTTGGTTTGAGAGGGTGGCACTGGTAGAAGCTGTCCTTGTGGTTTCTTAAGGGAGGGGAGAGAAAAGAAGGGGTACTAGGGTCTGGTGGAATATGAGCCCACTTCTGCCCTAGTGACCTATCTTTGGCTTTACAGTATATCAAATCTAAAAGACAGGACATGGCTCAAGAACATGGGTCCAAGTGGTAAGCACCCCTCACTCTTCTCCCTCCACTCTGTGGCCCCTCGGCCCTGGACCCCAGTGGAAGGGTCTCTCCTGCCAGTCTCCCATGCCCCCATGGCACAGCCAAGCCCAGGGTGCAGGGATGTTCAGAAGGTCCTGGGCGGGAGTCAAGCGGTTGGTCAGTAGGTTCTGATAGCCTTTGAATCGTCAGTATTTAATGAAACTCACCACTTCTCATTCCCTGGGACTCAGCTCTCCTTTGGGAGCTCTGGTGGCCTAGTGGTAAGAAGCTGTGCTGCAATCTTAAAGGCACACAGTTCAAAATCACCAGCTGCTCTGAGGGAAAAGGATGGACAATCTCCTTTTGTGTGATTTACTGCCTCTGAAAGCCCACTGGAGATTTGGCTATGGGTTGGTTTTGACTTTAAGGCACACAACAGCTCTCTTTAGTGAAACAAATCTCAAGATCTTTGTAGTGACTAAGGCCCTATTACCTCTCTAATTTTATTCCCCCTACTCTTCCCACTCGAGCCACACTGACTTCCACTGCTTTCTTCAAGCATGCGCAGAGTCCCCACAGTGGCTGTTCCTTCTGCCTAAAACTGTTTATTCACCCGGCTCATGCCCTCACTTCCTTGATGTCTTTGCTCAAATGCCACCTTCTCAGTGAGCCCTTCCTTGACCACTCCTCTAACCCCTGCACTCCCTAATCCCATTCTTTTGCTCAGTTTTCCTCCACATCTATCCATTGTAGCTATTGCTGTTTCTAGCTCTTTTCTATTCATTCTTCAAAGCATTGCCATCTCTTCAGGCATTACCTTCATCTCACCTTCAATCCCCTACAGCCAGGCTTCCCTCTCCTGTTGATGTTGTCCTTGCCTGTCTGCCCCACTAGAAAAGCCACCCAGGGTGAAGACTGAGATTTCCTCTGTGTCTTTAAGTGCCATGAATACTCTCATCAAATGTGTATTGAGTAAATAAATGTTGGCTAGCAAGTTAGGTGGCTTTAGGTTAGTTGGTTAATTCATGGTTGGTTGACTGATTGCTTAGATAGTTAAATGAGTTAATAGACAAGTCAGGGAGAGCTCTCATGTTGTCGTCTGTCGCAAGTTGAGCTGCTAACTTGAAGGCCATGAGTCTGGTGATTCAAATCCACTGGTGGCTTCATGAGAGGAAGATAGGCTGTTTCTTCCTGTTGGAATTTACAGCCTCAGAAACACAGATCCAGTGATTTTGAGAAGACAGGGTAGCTAGAATGGTAGGATTAGTCAGTCAAATGGCAGCTTGGTGAGTTGTTAGTAGTTAGTCCTTGGGTAGCAGGTTGCTTACGTAACCTGTTTGGAGGTTAGTTTTTGATTTGTAACCTAGTTTTCCTGAATGCACTCATCTCTTCTATGTCCATGACTCAAATGGCTTGCAGGTCTCCAAATGTGTATCTCTGTGTGAAACTATGTGACCAGATGTCTCATTACTAGTCATAACTACATAAGTGTCTAGTATTTTTCTCAAGCTCAGCATACTAAAAAAAGGGACTCCTCATTTGATTCTTTTGAGCTGTGGTATTGGAGGAGAGTGCTGGATATCCCAAGACTGCCAAGAGAACAGATATGTCTTGACGAAGGTGCAGCCAGAGTGCTCCTTGGAGACAGACAAAGATGATGAAGCTTCTCACATACTTCTGGCATTTTGCTAGGAGAGGCTATTCCTTGGAGAGGGACATCATGTTTGGAAAGGTGGAGGATGATGGAGGAGAGGAAGACTCTCAACCAGGTGGATTGACACAGTGACTGCAGCAATGGGCTTGAGGGTGTCGGAGGTTGTGAGCATGGCATAGAATAGGACAGAGTTCGAATCCATTGTTCACGGGGTCACTATGAGTCATACTTGATTCGACAACACCTAACAACAACATCCTCCTGCTCAAACCTGCAGCTCCTCACCTGTGGCCCCTGCCAGTCAGTCATCCTACTGTTGTAGCTAGAAGCAGGGGCTATCACTGCCCTGTGCTGCCTCCCTGTGCTGGTTCTTGGGTTCCTGCTTTCATCAGACTGTTCAAGGCTCTTGTTTAGGGTGGAAAAGCCTGGTCTCAGGATCAAAGGCACTCCTCTATGATGTTGCATGGGAGAGCTGAGTAGGATCACGACTGGTGATTCTCCAGACAATCAACACCCAGCTAGACCTAATCAGGCCTGGATTTGTTTTCCGGAGCAAGAACTAGGGTGAGCGAGATATGAACGTAGTGTCTTGGAGCAAATTGAGGGTGTTTAGTTCATGCCTGGTTGGCTGCTCTGTGCTTATCTTTGCTGTGTGAGGTCAGTTCCATTTAGGAAGCTTGAGGGAGGAGATGCCTGCGGAACAGGTGTCAGCATCCAGGCATCCAGCCCATCTGAACGAGCACTGCGCCCAGACTTTAAGGTGTTTACCTTCTGCTCCTCCCCTTTAGGCTTCAGATTCATCCTTTCCCCAAATTCCAGCTCCATACTTTCTTATTTCCCAGATGATGGAGCCATCTGTCTATCTATTCCTCCGGCTATTCATTTATCAAACAAATACTTACCAACCATCTTCCATGTACCAGGTATGATAAGAATTCTCATAATTCAGTGGAGAAGGCAGATGAGTAACTGAGTCTTCACTAACTCCACATTTATTGTACACCTATCATGTGGCATTACACAGCCAACCCAAAGGCAGGTGATTCAAATCTACCAGCCACTCCATGGGAGAGATGGGCAACCTCCTCCGGTGTCCACAGCCTCTGAAAACATGCTGGAGGGTTAGCGACGAATTGATTCTGATTCAACAGCACACAACAACAACATTCTGTACCTGATGCCATTCTGTACCATGTTAGCTGCTGAGGATACACGGGGGAGTAGCCCCAGTTCCTTCTCTCTCACTCACCCACACGCATCTGATTGTGTTCCCCGTGCTCACCGATTGCCTCCGCGCTGTTTGTAGAGCCTTTAACCCACCTAGAGTAGATGTGACTGCGCTGCACGCTGTGTGCACAGCGTCTCACTGTCGCCAGCCCCTGCTGTCTTGCTGTGACTCTCAGCTCTGGATCCCACTTACAGACAGGCTGATAGACAACTGAGTTCCACTTTGCTGCCTCCATTCTCTTGCTCTCCTCCTACTCATTAACACCATAGCTTATATATATCAACTCACCTCCTTCCCCCTTCTGCAAAGATACCACATTGGTGTGCACTTCCCATTGGTCCAGGCCAGTCCAGAAGCAAGGAGTGGCATGGCCTGGCCATCTAGCCCCCAGGCCCTCTTCATGTCCCAGTGGTTCTCAGGTGTCTCTGTCCCCTGCTGTCCTGTTGCCCTGTAAAGAAGAGGTATGCTCAGAGAAGCTGCTGGGTTATCCATTAACTTGACCATGAGTTGAAAGGCCGATGGGCAGCAAACAAACTTGAGTCTCGTTTTTTCCATGTGTTCAAGCTGCTGCTTCAGGCCTATTCACAAATCCAGGATGGTGCCATCATCCCTGATAACGAGGATGCAGACAAAAATGCAGAAGAAGTTGGTGCGAGAGTTCCTGGGTGAGATGATGAGCATGTACGTTATGATGGTAAGTGGACACACAGGGAGGGGACTCTGAGGTGGGGGCAAGGATCCCAGGACCCTAGATGGACAAGACTCAGTAAACAGTCCATAGACCACTCATCATCCCACAAATGCCTTGGGTTCTAGTATCCTTTTCCCTGCTGAGAGAGACGGAAACAGAAGTGAGGAGACTCGGGGCAGGGGATTCGGAGTGAGCGGAGGTGAAGAGGGAGGGTTATATGATATATAGGGACAGAATGAAGCCATGGGCTTGGGAGTGGGTATGGCTAGGGGTTATGGCTGAAAGTAGAGATGAAAGGAAAGTAAGAATAAAGAAGCAAAAGGTAACCATGAAAGTCAGACTTGAACACTAGTCCTGAGGACAATGGGGAGGCATTGAAGTCAGATTATTTTTGTAGAAGATAATTCTGGGCATGGCTGGGAGACAAGCTGAGAGGGGCCTGCTGAAGTGGGAGTAGTGACTCATCTAGGGCACAGAGAAGAGAGTGCATCTTTCAAAGAGTGTCAAAAGATGGGATCAGGGAGACTTTGCAAACCAAGAGCAGATATAGGATATGGGGTTAGGTGGCCATTCTCTAGACCATGAGGACTAGCCATTGGATGTGATTGCACGAGGTATTCAGTGTGCGGTATTCACAGAGAAATCCAGAAGATGGTTCTAGGGATCTGGAGCTCCAGAGAGTGGCTTGGGCTGGACAAAAGAGCTGCAGTCGTCTAAACATGAATGTTGTGGTAAAAACTGTTCAGAATGAACAGAAAGAGGTTAAGGACAGAACTTGGAGGAACATCACTCCAAAGAATGAAAAGATGCTCACAGAAGAGTCTAAGGAGTGATGAGAATCAGACGAGAGGGTGTCACAGAGGCCAGGGGAACACTCCCACCTGGAGGGACACTCCCACCGGAGGGACACTCCCACCAGAAGGTGTCAGGAGTGTGAAGAGCTGGTGAATAAGGTGAATAATGGTGTCCATTACATTTAGCAACATAGAGGTCACTAGTGACATTGGCAAGGACTCTAAGTGGGTAATAGGGACAGAAACCACACTGTAAACAGAATGTGGGGTTTCTTGGAATGCTCCTCTCTCCACGTGTGTAAACTCTATCATGTAGCCCAATGCACATCAGCAGGAGCTGTGGGTCACATTTGTTGTATCTTATCTAGGGCTCAGGCACAAAGTAAAAAGGAGCAACCTCTGGGGAGATCAGAGGAAATGAGAGTGAGAGGGAGGGGAAGAAAGGGGGGGAGAGAAAGAATACAGAGCTACCATGCAGAAAGGAGAGAGTGGGACTAGATCAGGGGTAGAAATATGGACTCCTGAGTGTCCACCCAGGCAGTGAGTCACAAGCTGGCCCTGGGAGGTTTCTCCCTGCTTTATTATTGGTGATTAAATGTATGGAATGAGATTTTCATGGGCCCCAGAGGTTTCTGGAGCTGAGTTTGAAGCCCAAATGCACTATCTCCTACTTTCCTTCAACAGGATCTTAACTGTCCAGAATGTTAGCCTCCTTGTTGGCAAACATGAACACGAGTCTGGAACTGTTTAAATTGTGCAAGGACAGTCAGTTGTCCCAGAGCCAGAACACATGTGTAATTCCTCTGTTGATATGACAAGGGCTCTGAGAGGCTCTCTCTTCCCTGTGCTGGTCCCTTCTGCCTCCCCCTGCCCACCTCTTCTCCCTTAGCTCCTAAGCTTGATCCTGTCCCTTCTTAATCCAGGGCAAAGTAATTAATTTATGACAAGACATTCCAGAAGCATCTCATGAGGGCTGTTAAACCTTGGAACTGCAGAGATAGGAAGATGAGTCCTCAGAGTTCTTTGGCAAGCAGGCACTGCCCACAGGCACAGAGGCCTGCCCACGTCTACATTTCTCTTACTTTTTCATGTAGTTTTTTAGTATTTATTCTGTACCAGGCACTAAAATGCTAGGCACCTTGCATGTAGTAGGTCCTTAAATCCTCACAACAACATTGTGAAGTTGTTCTGCCCCCTAGCTTAGATATGACAGACTTTTTAACATTCTGGCTTATTTGTCCTCTCCCCAGTTAACCAAGGCATGGCCCTCACTCTTAGACTTTGAGTACTTCAAGAGCCCCTCCCTGGGACTCAGTGTTTAAATCTGTTAAGTGGAAGCAAAAGCATTTGCTATTCAGATTTGCTGTTAAGATTGAAGGGAAGTAACATTTGTGAAAGACATTTGGAAGATTAAGTCCATAAAGGACATTGTGTTGTTATTTTTAGCTGTCAGCTCTGAGCCAAGAATGGGGGAGGGGGCTTTTTAGTGTTTAGGAAGCTAGGTGAGTCACTGGGGTGAGCGTTTTGCCAGGAGAGCTAGTCTGACCTTGGGCCCCATTTATTGAGGTCTGGCTCAAGGACGTGGACTGTTACTGTCCTGATTCCTCCAGAACGGTTGTCGGTTGTCGTTGGGACTGGCCGCTTGAGATGGGAGGAACTCTGACGAGCTGGGCCATGATCACTGACCAGAGGTGGGAGGGGCTAGAGCACTTAGGGACCTGGAACGCCAGCTGGAGATATGAATCACAGGGCAGGGGTTGAACCCTCACGTGCTGAAGTGTACAGGCACCGCAGAGTGGTGGCAACTGTGGCTAACTGCAGAGCACTGAGGTGCATAAGGGCTGCCTGCTGCCACAGAGCATGGGATACAAGCCAGCATCCCTTAAACTTCTGATTTCTCAAGAGGAGCTGAAACTTCTGGTCTTTAAAACAGAATCATCCAAGCAAAATGTGTACTTAGTTATTGACAGTTGGCAACCTTGACCCAGGAATCCTACATTATTTCATTCATTGATTATTTTCAGCAAATGGTCTTGAGCTTGACCTGGAGGTGGAGGTGATCCAGACCTTCCATGCCTGTCCTGTCCCTACTTGCCCAGTCTGTCAGCCCACTCAGGTCTCCTGCGCCAATCCCACTCATCTCTACCCCAAACTCACCAATATCCTCACCTTGAACTCGAGGCCACATCACCTTCAGGGGTTCCTGCCTCTGTCCTGAACATCCTGGGTCATCAGTGGGCCCTACTCAGCTGCTTCTCCTATTCAGGCAATTTTACATGTTCTCAGATTTCCCCAAAGCCCCTCTGTCTGCACTTCTGCCCAGATTTTCATCAGCAAGTGACTTTAGCCCCTACTTGACAGGGTGAACTGTCAGGCTGGCTTCCTGTGTCCTGCACCTCACCTTCTTATCTCTCACCAGCACATTCATCTATCTGAGAGTCTCCATGCCTCCCCCTGGGCTGGCCTGGTCCTTCATGGAGGACCCCTCTACATCTGCACCAGATCCCACAACACCTGCTTTTAAAGCTAGCTAGCTCCACCATGAAATATGCTTCCGTTGCTTAGTATATAATTTTCCCGCACCTTCTATCTCGTTTATCATCAGCCTCTCTGTCACTAGGCTATAAACAGACAGAAGGATCTCTTACTTAAAAAACAGCACAGCACACACGTGGGCATAGCTTAAGCCATAGACCTAGCGAGAGGATTCAGAAAGATTGATGCCAGGTCTGAAAAACGTCAAGTATGAAGCCTTGGGATGATCCATGTTCATGAGACAGACTTCATCATCTTCATGAGAGGAAGGAGTGGTCAAGAGCGGAGAAGTCAGATAAGACAGGAAACTCCGTAACATGTGGAGGGCAGAAGCCAGATTGAAGAGAGAACAAAAGGGGTCAGGTAAAGGAGCCTGTCAGGGGGTTCATTCCCGCACCTGACTGAAATGGAGGTGGATGGGGTGAACTTCAGGGATGTATACCTAGAAAGGGATACATGGCTAAGGTGGGAAAATTTACTTTTAGGAAGGGTGAGATTTGAGTATGCAGGAATCAATACAAGGAATGGATAGATGATGTAAGAGAATTCTCTGTAGGAGAGGGGCTGGGGTTCAGGAAGCAGGAAAGATGGGTGTAGATGCAGGTTAGTGTCATCAAGTGGTAACTAGAGGCTGATCAAGGGAGACCTATTCTCCCTGAGAAGGGTTGCAGAGGTGGGGATGGGTGGTAAGGTGGACAATCATCTGAGATGCAAATTAGGGGTAGGAATGAGCAAGCAGGTGAATGATGCCTGAGGTGATGGGAATGGAGCTGAGGGTAAGACAGAAGCCGACAGACTTCCAGGGCTGGGATATGTGTGGAGAGGTGTTTGGTTTTAGGTTTGGGCTTGCGTGACCACACATGTGTTTATTCTAGAAGATTCCAGACATGAGGTTTGCAGCACCCTTGAAGAACTTCTCCCAGGCTAGTCAGAGTGTGAGAGGCTCCAAGGGATGTACCCACACCCTTCACAGCCCTGCCTTCTCCCTTGGCCTTTAGATGGACTTGAGGTTAAGGTGCCCATTCTGTAAGATCTACACCAGCCTGCCTCTGGCCCCTTTCCAACCACTGCCCAGCTCTCCCTGGTTCAGGTCTGAGAGGCATTCACCAGCGTTCACGAGGAATGAAGCCTGTTGAGGGAGGGGACATATCAGAGGATCTTTAGAGGTGATTTTGGGAAAGGACAGAGGATGGGGCTTAGGAGCTAGAACTGAGCTCTGAGCCCTCTGCTGGCGGCAGGCGCTTCCCATGCAGGCAGCCCTCTCAGAGGTCCTCTCTTACAGGTGTTTGGCCTTGGCTCTGTGGCCCATAGTGTTCTAGGAGAGAATAAATTTGGGAGTTACCTTGGAGTCAACTTGGGATTTGGCTTTGGAGTCACCATGGGAGTCCACATTGCAGGAGGCATCTCAGGTGAGTGAGTCCTGGCCCTGCCTGACCAGGCAAGGGGCAGGTAACCCCTGTGGGCTCTTCCCTGCCCACTTCCAGCCAGCCCCTTCTAGGATTCAACCAGGGCTTGGCCCTTACCAGCTGCTGTCTGGTGGGAGGAGAACTTTGGAACCTCTTGCCTCTGACCATCTCTGACCTAAACCCTTCACTGAATCCCTTTGGCTTGCTTTCTAAATTTCATTTTATTTTCTACAACAGAACAAACACTAATTCAACAATTTATACATGTATAATTCAGTGGCCCTGACTACATTCTTTAGGTTGTGTACCATTCTTTACCTTCGTTTCTCTGTTATTTCTCCAACAAGGGAAACTCACTGCGAGTGAGAATTAACTTACCGGCAGTGGGTTTAATTATTTAAATCTTCATTTCAGGGGACAGTTTTGGATTAAGGTTTAAGTTTTAAAGACTATTTCAGAGAAATAGTTGTGCGATTTATTTTGTGAATTTTTTGATAGGGTAGCTATGAGGTTTTTTAGAGAGATAGTTTTGAATTTCATTCAGTTTTCCTAGCTCCAGAAAGTCTGAATTCCATTGTTGTTTTTTTTAATTTTTTTTTTATTATTTTTGTGTGTGCATGTATCATCAAATCAGATCTGACTGGTACAGGAGGAGATTGTCCCTCCTTCCCCGGCAGAGCATCTGGTGGATTCGAACCATGCACCTCTGGGATTGTAGTTGCAACTCCTTACCACTAGGCCACCAGAGCTCCCCTTGAATTCCATTGTTGTTATTGTTAAGTTCTGTTGAGTCACCTGTGACTCATAGTGACCCTCTGTACAGCAGCTCTGAAGCCTCCCCTGCCTGAGACAGGCTCACTGACTCTGACACGCCTACTCCCATTGCCCCAGTTACTGTATCAATCCATCTCATCCAGGGTCTTCCTCTCCTGTGCACTCCCTCTACCCTTTGTTTGAACTTCTGCTCTGCATTTCCTCCATTAGATCAGTAGTTTTCTGTAGAATCTTTGATCAAAATTCAATTCACCTTTTAAAAACTTATCTATCTCTTTTAGTAGCTAGATAGTTTAGGCAAGTTACTTAACATCTCTCTTCCATGCTTTCAAACATGCACAATGCACATGGGGCCTCCTGCTTCTTGGGGACAAAACACACAGCTGATAGATAGTACCTGTCATTACTATCTCTTACTATTGTTGTTGTTAATATTACTAATTTGGCTGCTACTAGCTGGTGTTGTTATTGCTGTCATTACTAATTTATTTTTGTTCTTAGTTCACCAACACACTTGCCCTCTTTTCCCAGGGGCCCACATGAACTCAGCCGTGACCTTCGCCAACTGTGCTCTCGGCCGCATGTCCTGGAAGAAGTTTCCTATCTATGTCCTGGGTCAATTCCTGGGCTCCTTTCTGGCCGCTGCCACTATCTACTGCCTCTTCTACAGTGAGTGTCCCACCAGGAACCATCTACCTCTGGCTTCAGCTTCTTCCTCTAATGCGTAGACACCCTGGACCTCAGCTTATGAAAACAACTGGGTGAAAGAAAGCCTTCGGGATGCCTTTTCACCCTTGACTCTACCCCACTTTATTTCTAAGACCCTAGTGGGGCTTACCTGCTGGCAGTTCTGCATCTCAATCTATGTCTCCACAGATGCCATCTACAATTTCTCAGATGGAGAGCTGACCGTGATTGGCCCCAAAGCAACAGCTGGCATTTTTGCCACCTACCTTCCCAGCTACATGACACTGTGGCATGGATTCCTGAATGAGGTTAGTGGACCAGGGTAGGTGGCCCTACTCCAAGTCCTCCACCCTTCAAGGGGGAGCCAGAAGGTAGCCCCTTACTCTGGTGGGGAAGGCACTGGGACATGTCGGCTGGTGGACTTGGGTTGGAGGCGTTTGAAGAAGAGAGCCTTGGGTTGCCATGGTGACTGTTCCACAGATGTTGCTGACAGCCTTGCTCCAGCTGTGTATCTTCGCCATCACGGACAAGAAGAACAGCCCCGCACTGGAAGGGACACAGGCTCTGGTGATTGGCATCCTGGTTGCCACCATTGGGGTGTCTCTAGGCATGAACACAGGCTATGCCATCAACCCGGCCCGGGACCTGCCTCCTCGCTTCTTCACCATCATTGCTGGCTGGGGCCCTGAAGTCTTCAGGTACTCCTCTGCTCAAACCTGTTCTCACTGCAGATGGGGGGTCAGCGATGGTGTGAGGATTGGCACCGGGAAGTCCCATCCGCACAGTTCCCTAGTAGCCTGGGAAGACAGGAGTGGGTCCCTACTTTCCCCTAGGCTGGCACTGGTGATTGGTACAGTAAGACCGACTCTAGCCAGCCCTTGCTCCCAGATCACATTGAGGTTGGCCAGGACCCCAGGCTCGGGGAACACTCTAGAGCTAGGAAGAGGGTAATTCCTTGACTTTCCCCGCCTTGGCCTAAAGTTAATGTGTCATCTTTTGCCCACAGAAACGGGAACCACTGGTGGTGGGTGCCGGTGGTGGCAACACCTCTGGGTGCCTTCATAGGCGGCATCATCTACCTGATCTTCCTTGGCTCTCCCAAGACGCCAGAGGAGCCTGGGACGTGTGAAGATCGCAAGATGTCCGTGGCGGTCACGACGACCTCATTCTCATGCAAGACCTCTCCCCTTGCCTTCCCTATGTCCTCTAGGAGCTCTGAAAACAGTAGAGTCCCAGTGCAGCCTGTTACACCCTTGAATGACTCAATCACATTTTTAGAGCACTTCTAAGTGGGTTATTTGTGACTTCACCCTAATAAAGAAAGCCTTCCCACAGAGACACCCTTTAACTTCCTAGTGCCTCTGCCATTGGGCTTCCCTCCTAGATTCTTTCAGATTATGCCTTAAACCAAGGGCTGAGGAGTTTCCAAAACGTCCAGATCCTGGGGACAGAATGCATAAGTGCAGACTTCGTGGCTTCAGAAGGAGAAAGGGGACATGAAAGGACTTCCAAGGCTTGATGATGAGCTGTCAAGACACAAGACGGGGAGATGGCTATTTGGAGGAAGGATCAGAGCTGACGGGTGGGAATTGGCTTTGGGGATTTCTTGAGCTGCCCAAGGATAGTTTAGACTCTCCCCCAGTTCTTCACTCCTCCAGTCTGATCAGTCCTCTGAGGCCCACGAGTTCTCCTACTTGTTTTTTTACTGCCCTTTGGAACCTTTTTGTTTAATCCCCTCTAATCAGATGGTATTAACTATTATGTGTAATAAACCCACTCAGGTTTTCTATGTCACTCTGTATTTTATACTTCAGAAGAGTACAATTTTTTTCTTTTATACACATGCTCATTCAATTTTGCCCTCTCCTGAATGCTTGATGGATGCAGAAAGCAGGGCATATTTTGGGCATCTGAACTCTCCCACTTTAAGGGGAAATCCCAGACTTGGAAAGGGAAAGAAATGCAAAGCGTGAAATTCTTAAAGGTGCAGAGATTGGACAAAGCTGAGATGGGACTCTGGGGTAGCCAGGTCTCTGACCTTGAGGCCAGGAGGGAACCATCTTTACTTCCAGGACTCAGAGGAGTATCACCTACATTTTCTGTCACCACTCAGGCATTTATTCTCCCAGCTACTATTTGCACCTCTGCCTGGGCAGTGGGGTTAAGCAGTGAATGAGCCAGTCTGCTTCCATGAAGCTCAGTCTAATAAAGGCTGTTAGGTTACTATGAGCGAGGAGCTGAACGGTGGTGAGTGGGATATAGGAACAACTTGGGGTTCAGAGGGGACTCAGAGACAAGCCTACAGACCAATGTTGAGGATGATGGCTTCCCAGAGAAGAGAGGGCAGCTGGGAGTGGGTGTCCTTCCTGGGAATGGGAACAGTGCTTAAAGTTTGGAGGATGGGCCAGAGGAGCCTGGATCTCCTTCTAAAGATGAAAGACACGGGAAGAAGAGACTCAGCCCCAAGAGCTGTGAGCTGCCCCTACAGGCTGCTAAGAATGGGGAGACTGGGACCCTCAGAGAACACCCAGGAGGAGTATCCAGGCTCTGGGCAGGTCAGTGCTGATGGGGTGGAGAGAAGAGATGCTATAGATGCTTTAGTCACTCATATTGCAGGACGTGGCTTCAGATTGGCTGTGGGGGTGACTAAGGGAGAGGGAGGAAGCAATAGGAGGAACTGGCTTAGACAGGGAGATTAAAAGGGACACTTAGCACCACAACAAGATAAACAACCCAGTTGCAAAATGGGCATAGGATATAAAGAGACACTTCACCAAAGAAGACATTCAGATGGCACACAAACACATGAAGAAATTTTCAAAATCCCTAGCTTTAAGAGAGATGCAAATCAAAACAACTATGAGATATCATCTCACCCCAGAAAGAATAGCAAAATTTAACAGAACAGGAAACAACAAATGCTGGCAAGGTTATGGAGAAACTGGAACCCTTATTCACTGTTGGTGGGAGTATAGAATGGTGCAACCAGTATGGAAGGCAGTATAGTGCTTTCTCAAAAAGTTGGAAATAGAAATAACATTTGAACCTGTAATTCCATTACTGGAAATATACCCTAAGGAAACCGGAACTGCCACCCAAGCAGATACACGCACACTCATGTTTATTGTTTCTTTGTTCACAATAGCAAAGGGTTGGAAACAACCCAAGTGCCCATCAACAAATGAATGGATAGAGAAGCTGTGGTATAGTCACACAATGGAATACTATGCTGCATTGAAAAACAAGGAACTCATGCAATATTATTCAAAATGGGTGACTCTGGAGGATATTATGCTGAGTGAAATATCTCAGTCACAAAAGGACAAATACTGCATAATGCCACTGTTACACAGGATTGACATCAGGATTGGGGAAAACTAAGAAAAGAGGGGATAAATAGTGTACATGGCTTTGAAACAGATGAGAGAACTGTTTAAGAGGGATATATGATTAGATAGTATTTGCATGACAAAAGTCCAGAATAAGAGCTGCATAGTAAAGTGGACTGGGGGAGAGGATTGTATAACAATGAAAAAAAATTTTTTTTTTCTTTTTAAAAAGAAAAAAGAACTGGGGGAAGTCTGGGCAGGGAGGGAAATTGCAACAGTGAATGAACAGAAATCCAAATTCTCTATAAACTTTCATTAAAATCTCAAAAAATGACACTCTGGACACACAGGACTTGAGTTACTGGACACTGATGGGTAACTAGTGTCAGAGTATGGTTGCACTGTGGTTAATGAGCGTGAGTTCTAAGGACACACAGTCTCTGTTTAAATTCCCTCTGTCACTGACTTGCTTTGTGGTCTTGGGCAAATTACTAACCCTGTCTGGGCTTCGTTTTGGCTTTCCACACTTGTAAAATGGAATTAGTAATATTACCTAACCCCAAGTGTTGCTGTCAATATTATGTGAGATAAAATACGTAAATCTGATCATAGTACCTGGCACAGAGTACATACTCAACAAACACTGGTTAAGGCTTTTATGTGACCCGGAGCTGAAGAGAAGAAAGCAGAGAGTTGGGTGTTGCAGCTAGCTGCGTGAATGATGGCAGGGACAGTGGGATAGTGACAGGAGGCTGTGAGTGGAGTGTGCAGGGGGCTATCAAGAGGCTTGGCTGAGGAGGAGAGCCAGGTCGAGTGACAGGTGGCACTGGAAACAACTGTCCTCCAGCAGTGGGATCGATGGGTGCATACATTGTTCGAATGCAAGGATAATATTATGTAAAGCTCTGAGCTCTGTACCAACTGCTAACTCCAAGGTGGCATCTCTCTGGTGGTTCAAATCCACCAGCAGCTCCCAGGCAGAAAGATGCACAGTCTCTTCCTGGTGACTTACAGCCTGCAAGAACCAGCTGAAGGTTGGCTCTCAGCGGTTCTGACTCAATGGCAGTGAGTGAATCAAGTATTACATGGGAATAAAAATGAAGCCAGAGCAGCTACTTGTCAAAGCATGGAAAATTTTTGGACAAAGAGAAAGCAAGTTCAGAAGAGTGCATACACTGAACACCGATTTTATAGCCAAAAACAAGCAAAAAGTAATATATTATTTGGAGGTACCTGTGTATGAGATAGAACTCTTTGAAAAAAGGCATTGTTCCTCCAGGGAGGCAGAGATGAGGGGTTGGGATGGGGGAAGAGTAGGGGAGGTGTTTCTGGGAACAGGGTGAGTTTCTGGGTCTGTTAGATGACTATGATGTCTAACAAATATGACACATAGTTTGTCATATGTATTGCATTTGAAAGACAAGACATAATTATAGTATAAGATGGGCTGGGGTTGAGGAAAGCCAGATGAGGTTGGAAGCCACCCAGGGTGCAGAAAGGAAGGGGGTAAGGGGATGGACTTGGCTGTGTAAATCCAGGCAGAGGGGGCCAGGAGTGACCAGAGGAGGCCGTAGCAGGCTGTCCTCAGTCAGCTGTGCGTGTCCTCCCTGAATGGCCCTCTCTCAACTTCAGTGGCCCTGTGAACATGGGGAGGGGCATCCCAGGGCGGTGCAATTCAAGGCCTCACTCAAATTGTGAGGCCCGGACAGGCCTTGGGTTCTGGTCCCCACCTTCATCTGTCCTTCACTGACCACTTCAGCCTCTGGCATCCTCATGTCCCTGAGAGGTGACTTGGACACAAGGTGGGTGAGTGTCTCTGTCTGGAATCTCTGCCCTGCTGGCCGCTGCTCAAAGCCTGCAACACCCACAAGGCTCTGGCCCAGTGTAGACTCAGAGAAGCCCCGACCCTGTTCACAGCGCTGCCCTCGAGGGCTTACAGCACGCCAGACACTGTTCGAGTGCCGAGGGTACGGCCATGAAGACCACGGACGTCCACCCGGCGCTGATACACAGCACACATACAGATATATTGTGTGGGTGACGCATGCTGAGGGGGAAAAGTAACCTGGAGGAGGGCTTTAAAGGAGGTGAGGGTTTGACTTGTAGGGACAGCTGGAGGAAGGGGGCGCTTTGTCGACAGAACAGCCAGTACGAAGACTCTGAGGCAGAAACATGAAGAGCTATTGTGCTGGAACAGAAGGAAGGAAGGAAGGGAGAGTTGAAAAAGATGAGGTCAGAGAGGTAATCAGGGATCTAGGTCAGGGGTGGAATGGACTGAGGGCAGATCCAGGGGAGAGGTGAAGCTGAAGTTGGGGCTGGGGTAAGGGGGTTCTCTAGAGGAGGGGAGTAAGGACAGGGTGGAGTGGACATCATAACACCTTGTCAGTCCCTGTTAAAGGTTCTGTTGCCTCTCTGTCTTTCTCTCTCTCTCTGTCTCTCTCAGGCACAACAGAAGGCACAACTTGCAGCTCTGGAAGCCAGGCTGCTTGTGAGCTGTGGGAATCTCCTCTCTTCTCTCTGGCACAGGGATTGCCTATGCAACCTGAACTCAGGCCCTCCTTTCTCTGGGCCTCAGTTTCCCCATCTGTAAAGTGAGCTTGGATGCAGGTGAAATGGGGAAGGGGCAGACAGGACCAGGCCTCTCCAAGGACTTGGCAAAAAGCTTCAGTTCTTAGCCCAGTGATGCCAGGTTCAGTTATCGAAGTTAATCCAAAAGTCTCTCCTGGTCACTCAGAGCCTCCAAGGGACAGAGAGCACTGCAAACTGGTCCCACTGTCTCCTCCCTCAGAGGGTCCCGGCCCAGAAGGAGGTGGGGGGAACCA